GTACTCTCAATCTTAGACTCCCACATAGCTAGGATAACAGGTGTCATCCAGCTATGGGTTGAAGAGAGTTCTCTCAAACATTTTTTTTAAAACCTAGACTGATCTCAAGTCAAAATCTCAACCTTGTAAGTATCCAGGATTACAAGAATAAGCCACCAGCATCCAGCATTTATTATTTAAATATCCATGTGCATTAAACCCTGTTTCTTCTGTTGCAGGTATTTGTGGTGGGAGCGGTTGGTTGTTTCATCATTGGCCAGGCCCACCAAGCATTTATAGCAATCACAGTTCAGGAAGTGTGCATCGTCATTTTCTTTATTTTAGTATATCTGGTAACTCTTCAACACTTGCTCATCTGTTTAAACTGGCCTTTACTTGTAAGTGTTCATTTTTATAATTCACCAGAGTTTCTCTCTAGATAAGGACACAACAGAGCTATGATAGAGAGCTGCCCCAGTTCTAGGGGAGAGCCCAGTATCTGGAAAGGTCACTTGAACCTCTCTGTCTACAGCAAAGCCAACATACATGCACAGACAGACAGACAGACAGACACACACACACACACACACACACACACACACACCCCTGTTCTGGACTCAGTATGAAGCCCAACTCATTGTGTCATTAATCACAGGCTACTTTTTAACATCTTCTGGTAAAAATTTGAATCCTCATACTCAATGAGTGAACACATTTTCTCAGCCAGTGGTCGTCAAACAGTTCAGGCTTTTTGCTTTTCAAATAGCACTTTGACAATGACAGACATCTTCCCAAAGGCAAATGTTGACATAATAGAGTTGTAGGAAATCTTTTGGGAGAACCCTAATCGATTGCAAGCATCTTCCCTTTTGTGTGTATTCAAGAATGGCTCACACCTATAATCCTAATTACTCAGGAGGCTGAGATCTGAGGATCCTGGTTTGAAGTCAATTCTGGACAGAAAAGTCCACTCTTATTTCCAATTAACCCCCCAAACCAGAAGTGGAGCTGTGGTTCAAGTGGCCCCTGTCCCCTGGCTGCATTCACATCTGAGTATCTTGTTTTACACAATCCTAAGGTCTGAAGTTTCTCACAAAGCTGCTATAAGCACACCTCTCTCTGAGCCTGCAAAGCTCAACTCTGATCTGCACCAACCCTTCTCCATGTGCCCATGCCAGTATTTTCTACCATGTACCAAAACATAAGACATTACAGCCTTTTCAAGAGGCATGTCACACTCCATACTAGGACTCCTCACTTGCTGACCTAAACAGGAGGAACACCTGCAGATAGTAGGGCAGACCCAATTTTGGTTGTTTCAGAAAACATCAAAAGTTAACCGCAGAAAAAATCCACTCCTGAAAAATCAGGCCTGCTTTTCAGATGGATGTGTGTTTCTTGGGGGATGTGAATTCAGAATCTAAGAATAAAATTAAATCTGTAAGGTGCCAATCTAAAATTTTACTTCCTTCCCTCAAAAGAAGTTTTACATTAAAACAAATGTGAGCTGGGCCTCAGTGGCTCACGCCAGCAATCCTAGCAACTCAGGAGGCTGAGATCTAAGGATCACAGTTCAAAGACAACCCAGACAGGAAAGTCCAAGAGACTTTCATCTTCAGTTAACTACCAAAAAACCAGAAATGGAAGTGGTAAAGTGACGACCTTGTGCAAAAAAACTAAGGGCTGGGGCTGGGAATGTGGCTCAGTGATAGAGTGCTCGCCCAGCATGCAAAAAGCCCTGGGTTCAAATCCTCAGCACCACATACACAGATGAAGTCAGAAATGGTGCTGTGGCTCCAGTGGTAGAGTGGCTCAGGGACAGTGCCCAGGCCCTGAGTTCAAGCCCCAGGACTGGCCAAAACAGAAAACAAAAAAAAAGCTAAGAGAGAGCAACAAGGCATTGAGTTCAAGCTCCTGTACTGGCACACATACCCACTCACCCACAAAACACACACACATGCAAAAGGGTGTTCGAGGTTTGGTTCACATAGAGAAACACCTGCCTAGCAAGTGTGAAGCCTTTAATCCAAACCCCAGTACCACATAGAAAAATAAATCCTTTAGCTGGGTCTTTAGATCATTCAGTATCTTCTTGTGCCCTTTTATTTAAAAAAAAAAGCAGAGGAAAAGTCAAATTTTTAAAAATGAAAGTAAGGCTATTTTTATAGACAATACATTCCAAGACCTTAAAATCAAAAAACTCATATCTCTGGAAAAATGTAGAAACTGTGCCCCTCTAGTGCCAAGAAGGAAAGTGTTTAAAAGGTATCCATCCTTAATAACCTGGGCAATTAAAATATGATACGAATATTACATTTCCATGCAAACCTTACCATTTTCAATCTTGTGTTACAGGATGTTATGAACAGTTTCATTTCAACTATATTCCTTTTAGTGGTTGCCATGATGACAATCCAAGAGAAGGGAAGGAGGCATTTGTTCTATGTTGGAGGGGTAAGTATAGACCTTAGTAACACCATCTCAGATCAAGACTCTTAACAAAGGAAACTACAGACCATCATTACATCACTAACAAAACAAAATAAACAAAATCCCCACTCCCCTCTTCCCCTTGTTTTTGTAGTGATGTCAAATGATGTGAAGCCACAAAGACTTTAAGCTTATGAAAAGTCACAACCCTAATATGTATTCTCTTAAGTACAAAAAAAAGGCAAAACAGGAGTCTGTGTAACCTCTTTTGAGAATGGTATACACTATATTTAAAATATTGCGGCAAAACCCGGCACCAGTGGCTCACACACATAATTCTAGCTAACCAGGAAGCTGAGATCTGAGGATTGCAGTTCAAAGCCAGCCTGGGCAGAAAAGTCTGTGAGACTCTTATCTCCAATTAACCACTAGGAAACCAGAAGTGGCACTGTGGCGCTCAAGTGGTAGTGCGCTAGCCTTGAGCTGAAGAGCTGAGGGACAGTGCCCAGGCCCAGAGTTCAAGTCCCACAACCGACCAAAAAAAAAAATATTGCAGCAAGCTATTTTATGCCTACAAATGGGACTTTGACATTTCTGGACTAAAAGGTGGTATTTTAAAGACAGTGAAGGGCTGGGCATGGTGGCTGGGAGGTGGAGATTGGAAGAGTTGAGGCTAGCTAGGACAAAAGTTTAAGGAAAACCCATAGCACCCATATCTCAATAAGCCAGATGTGGTAATACAAGCCTATGATTACCAACTATTAAGAGGCTGTAGGTAGAAGATTACAACCTGAGGTTAACCCAGACAAAATGTGAGACATTACCTGAAAACTAACTAACATTCATAAAAGGGTTGGAGACATGTCTAAAGTAAAGTACCTGACTAACAACCAGAAGCCCCTGAGTTTAGACTCCAGGAGAGAGAAAAAAAGAGAGTGCACTGTCTCTGGTTTTACTGATGTAGAAATTGAGGTTTAATAGGTTTAATACCTGTTCTGAATCATGGGCTGAGATTCAACCCCATCTCACATGGAAGAACAGAATAACAGGCAGATTGAGTGCTTGGAAGGTAGGGGAGTGGAAAGATGGAACTTTGGTTCCAAAAGTAAAACAATGCTGACAGAAATTCATCAGAAAAAAAAAAAAAACGAATTGGAGAGTTTTGCTTCTTTTTGTGTCAGCCTGGAGCTAGAACTCAGGGCCTGGTGTTCTCATTGAGCTTTTTGCTCAATGCCAGTGCCCTACCACTTGAGCCACAGTTCCATTTTCAGCATTTTTTTGGCAGTTAATTGGAGATAAAGCGTCAGACTTTCCTGCCCAGGTTGGCTTTGAATCACAGTCTTCAGGTCTCAGCCTCCCGAGTAGCTAGGATTACAGGCATGAGCCACCAGCACGTGGGCAGAGTTGAAGTTTTTGGAATTAATCCTATCATGGGTGAATGTTTGTCAGTTCTCCTGGACTATGCCAAGCCACGCTCAGTGCTTGGGCACAGAGCCCCTTCCAGCTTGGAGGGCTCACATATTAGCCGAGACAAGAACTACTTAGGAAAAGATAGTTAGGAATTAAGCGCCCATAAAGAGAGAGAGAGATCGAGGCTGACGTTTCCAGCATCCTTTGGCCCTCCCATCCTCCTAATACAGCCCAAGAGCCCTTCTCCACCACCACCACCACCACCACTGCCAGGAGCCTCCAAAACCTCCCCCAGCCCCACCCCATTTCCCAAATTCCTTTCTCTGGAAAAGGCGGAACAGACCTGCAGCAGCCAGGATGGTAATGGAAGGTCAGAGCTGCACAGGAGACATTGTGTGCGCAGACCCAGATCCCACCTGACATAACCCAGCCTTTCTTTCCCGCGCATGCCCCTGCGTCTGACAGAACCTGTGTCTCATAGCGGCCATCCTGTGTTGCTTGGATGCGTTGGGGGTCATCAGGAGGATGAGGCAGATGAACGAGCCTCAGACAAAGGCAAGCTCGGAGACCTTGCTCAAGACGAACTGAAGCAGGGCGGGTCTCCCCGGCCCCCCTCTGCCCCCCTGCGCTTGTAACCCACGCCTCCACGCCACCACTGAGCTCTCCCTGTCACCCATTCCGGCCTCCCGTGTGACCATATAAAATCAGGGCTGCTTAGTTGGGAACACTTCTGCTTCCGCGTGTTGCCTGCTCTCCACAAGTCGCATTGGGCTTCTCGGCGGGGCTGCGCGCACCAACTATGGTGGGGGGGGGGACCCCAACCCAGGACGCTGCCTAGCCAGCCCATGGCAGATTCAACCCGAATCCACCTGGCTAGACCCGGCTAGAACCAGCAGGAAAGCTCTGCCCGGAGGCGGGGCGCGAAGGAGGCTTCAGATCTGGTCGCTGTGGGCAAACCAGTCCCGAGCGCATTCTGGAGGCGAGCGGGCGCGCGCGGAGCGGGGACAGGCGTTGGCATGCGCTGAGCCTGGCAGTTATCTGAGCGTGGCCCCTGAGCCGATCGGTAGACACTAGGCTTTGTTCCTGGGCGGGGCCTGTCCAGGGACAACAGAAGAGACCGAAATCATAAGCCCAGTCTCAAGGTCAGCCAGGCTGTACAAAGCTGAAAATTCCAACCAGCCATGACTGCTAAGCCACAGGAACCCAAGACTTTTGGCGCCCGCACAAAGGAGATTTGGGATCAAACGAAGAAGGGAGTTGTGTACCACCAGAACGAAGTCAAAGAAAGCAATAAACCATTCTGGATCAACGGGCATGGCATAGTCAAGCTCCTGGGTTTGGTAAGTTAGAGCTCTCTCCCTGAGTGGGTGTTCTAAGACCAGGTTGGGGGGGTAGGGAGAGGGTTCCAGGGACTCAGGAGCATGTTTCTGTGCAGATCTGCCTGATAGCTAGTATAAAGATATTCGCCACGACCACCGCACACCCCATTTTGACGCTGATCCTCTATATGGAACTGTTCATCGCTGTCTTCTTTTTCATCCTCTACATCTGTGCCATTAACAGATACCTGTCCTTCATCATTTGGCCTATTTCTGTAAGTGAGGGAGGGGTCGGGAGGGGAGCTCTGGGCGGCTCACCACGAACATGGCTTGGCACTTAGAAAACGAACAGACAGAAACTCACCTCTAATGCTTGTGCTCAAGATCTGCTGTGGGGAGCGGGTGGGGTCGGGGACAGCTAGCCAGAAAATGCTCTCCACACTTAGTTGAGTTGAGTGTGTCTTGTGTTAGAGTGGAAACTCTTACTGGAAGGAAGAGGGCCTGGGACCTTGCTCTCTGAGAAGAAGAATGTAAGGATTGCTCTTCTCCATCTGCCAGTCACACATGGATTTGGGGAGATCATTCCAGAATTCAAAGAAGAAAGTTGCCACCAGCACCCAGCTCCATGCCCCTTATAGTTTTGTGCAGAGTCTTCAGTTTATATCTGGCAGATTTGGATTACGGTTGTATTACTGTTGTCTCATAGCTGGGATGACAGGTGTGTATCACCAAGCCTAGCTTTTATTGGTTGAGACGGGAACTCAGAACCTTTTCTGGCTCTAGCTAACCTCAAACTAAGATCCTCCCAATCTCGAAGACCTTCCAGGCAAACAGAATTAGAGAGGTGAGCCACCACATCTGCCTTAATTTTCTTTTTCTTGCTTGCTTGCTTGAACTCAGGGCTTCGGCGCTGACCCTGAGCTTTTTTGCTCAAGGTTAGCACTCTACCACTTTGAACCACTCCTGGTGATTAATTTGAGACAAGAGTTTCACTGACTTTGCTGCCCAAGCTGGCTTCAAACCATGATCCTCAGATCTCAGCCTCCTGAGTAGTTAGGATTGCAGACATGAGCCATGGCACCTGATTTTCATTCATTCTTTCTTTCCTTCTTTTTCTTTTTTCATGCTGGTATTACAGCTTGAACTCAGGGCCTGGGCTCTGTCCCTTAAGGGTTTTTTTTTTTTTGAGGGGGGTTGTTTCTTTTTGTAGGGGGTTGGGTTTGTGTGTGTGTGTGTGTGTGTGTGTGTGTGTGT